CCCCCCCCCTTTTTTTTTCTTTTTTCTTTTTCAAAGGCCAGCCTTCTTTTCAGCTTCAACCGTGCACAGAAAAACTACAGCTTTGTCCTATGACCGCATTTGTCCACCATGACACATCACCTAGGGACTACCCCTTCCGGTATAAGCATGGAATCAGTCTGGGTGTCGCTCCCGAAACCAAGCAGCGACGGGTCTGAATCGATGGCAGATCGTATTCGCAGAGTCCAAGAAGATCTTGGCGAAATTCATACCTTTTATAACATTTCCATATCACCCACGCGACGGAACCGCCTGGATAGGTTCTGCGACGATGAACTAGAGTCCCTCGGCCACGTTGACTTTGAAGCTCTGAATCAGCAGGATAGAGTGGACTACATTTTGTTGCGTAATTTTTTGAGGCGGTACAAGGCGCGGTTGAAGTCTGATCAGGACACAGACAAGAGCATGGCACCATTGCTGCCGTTTGCAGCCATCATTGTGTCTCTATGTGAGCATCGAGAGCGCGTCAAACCCATCCGCCCAGAACATATTGCAAGTAAACTCAACGACGTGAAAAGTTTGGTTGGCAAGATACATCAAGATGTCGAGGATGGAAAGATAAAAACCAGCAAGTCCAGCGCTTATAAGGCATCTAAAGTCATCAGCGAGCTTCGTAGCCGCCTCGCCGAGATGTTCAACTTCTATTCGTCCTACGATTCTCAGTTTGACTGGTGGGTTACTTCACCCTGGAAGGCAGTTGATGCAGCGTTGGAGAAACATTTTTCCCTAGTCCAGAGCAAGTTGGCCGGTATACGCCCGGATGGCAATGGCGATGTCATCGGCCAACCGATTGGACGTGAAGCACTCCTCAATGAGCTTGAAGCAGAAGTCATTGCCTACGCGCCAGAGGAGCTGGTGCAAATTGCCAAGCAGCAGTCCAAGTGGTGCGAGCAGCAAATGAAACTAGCCTCGACGGAGCTCGGATTTGGTGACGACTGGAAAAGGGCCCTCGAGCATGTCAAGACGAAATTTGTGCCCCCGAGTGAACAGCCCCAACTCGTCATGCAACTCGCCCGCCAAGGAGCCGACTTTGTCCGAGACAATGACCTCGTAACCGTTCCGCCTTTGGCCGAGGAAACCTACCGCACCATCATGATGCCAGCCGAGCAGCAAAAGGTCTCACCCTTCTTCCTCGGTGGATCCATGATCCAAATCGCCTATCCCACAAACGACATGCCGTACGACCTCAAGCAGATGGTCATGCGTGGAAACAACAGACACTTTACCAAAGCCACTGTGTTTCACGAGCTCATCCCTGGCCACCGGCTGCAGCTCCATCAGGCCCAACGGCACCGAAGCCATCGCCTACTGTTCCAGACCCCCTTCTTCGTGGAAGGATGGGCCATGTACTGGGAATTCGTCCTCTGGCAGCGCGGCGATTTCTTCGTCTCACCCGAGGACCGCGTCGGCACCATGTTCTGGCGCATGCACCGCTGCGCTCGTATCATCCTGTCCCTGAACTTCCATTTGGGCAAGATGGAGCCCCAAGAGTGTATCGACATTCTGGTCAACTGGGTCGGGCACGAGCGGTCTACGGCCGAGGGTGAAGTGAGACGGTGGTTGAATGGAGATTACGACCCTCTTTATCAGATTGCGTACATGATTGGTGCTCTGCAGCTCGTCGAGCTGAGAAGAGAGGTGCTCACGTCCAACAGGATGACCGAGAAGAAGTTCCACGATACCATTCTTACGTATGGCGCTATCCCTAACGAACTCGTGAGGGCTTTGGCACTAGACCTAGATCTGAAGCCGGACTTTAAGGCAAACTGGAGATTCTACAAAGGGTAACGTGCTGCAATTGGGAGAAAGCTGAGTTTTTTTGTGCTTTGGATATATTTAATCGATGCGTAAGGGTACATGTGAGCAGTTCCCCCCCTTACCCCCCCCCTTACC